GGTCAAAGCCTCGTGTTGAGACACATGGGCATGAAAGGCCACTCAACCGTTTCGCTGATGTGGCAATGGTGTGAAATTGTATGTGGGCACTTTGTGCTGCCAGACTGTTGGAGTTTGGTTCCATAAGGTCTGTAAACTAAGCCGGTCGTCGCACATGTCAGAGCCGTGCGAAAAACTTCTGAAAGCCATGTTCGTTTGGGTCTACCCCGCTTCCGAACATCATGCCATCGCGGCTGAAATGCCCCATCATGGAAAGTACAGGTTCGCATGACATCCTCCTTTGGAAGTTTCGCGATGCGCCCCAAAAGTAGCAGCTTTCGGCGTCAAAGAATGATAGAAAGTTTCTCAGTGCCAGCTTCTTGTATAACAGTCTCGTTGCGACCGCGGCTGATGAATGAGTGTGGTATGCCGAGGATGGAACGAAGGCAACGGGCTTGAAAGGCATGATTTTTGCGCAAGTCAGCTTTACAAGAACACAACGCGAGCAAAAACAGAGCGACAGCAACGACAATAATTGGCTTGTGCCAGCAGCAGCAAGGACAAATAGAACCACTGCTACGGTCATCCCCATACTAAAAGCTAGCAGCAGCAGCACCGTAGCTGAGCACTGATGAGGATGAAATGACACCTTCACGACTAGCCCCTCGTGGTAACATATGTTTTGCCACGACCCGAGTTGGGAGAATGTCGTAAAGAGCACGTATACCAGCAAGCGCGGCAAGAACGACAACATCTTCAAAACTGTAAAGCCAGGATGATCGCAATACTGAAGCTGATAGCAGACCCACTTCTTGGCAGGATCGCCAGGTCCTGAAGGACGCCTTGGCAGAGAACTCGGAGGCGTTGCAGAGCCTTTCTGCTCCTTGAATGCAGTTGGTCCGGATTTTCGGCAAGGCTTAGGGGTTTACTGTACTCACTGGTGCATCTGAGGCCAGCAACTATGGCAGCTTCGTGGTAAAAGAGATGAAGAGGCGGTAGGCAATGCTCGGTTGGCCAGAGCTAGGAGTCAACGGTGCCTTTGCACCGCGCTCGATGCAGAAATTCAAAGGCAGCCACCATGGCTGCCCTCCGTTTATGGAGGATACAGATGAGATCAGGTTTTCTCCGTGGTTTACAAGATCGACGACCAAAGAAAGCACAGCTTCTCTTGAAAACCATGGGACGCGAGAGGCCATGGTCGTTCCAGTTTCGACTGCCTCGCTGTTTCGAGTGGAATTTGAAAGGCCGAAACCATCTCTCAACGTCTGCCGCTCTGGATCCCATGGCGTAGGTACGTACAGTACTTGCTACTCAGGATACTGTGGGTTTGCGGTGGGAGATCCGGGCGACTGCTCTGATAGTTGGTGGCGCAGACACGAGCCTCTTGCCCTGAATGGCGGACAGCCGGGGCCACGTAGAACTGCATCGGTCGGAAATACGCTAGACCCTCAGCTTCCGGCTTGTCGTCTGAAATGGCAGATGATGAGCACGGGTGCTCTGCATTTTCCTTCTCTGAAAACCTTGGGCGCGAATAACGTGCACGTATAGCCTGAGACGGCACTTGATTTGAGCCTATCGGGGTAGTGTTCTTATCTCGCTCGTGCTGCTCTGGCACATGGGTAGAAGGATGTGGCCCTCAGGCCACAAGCATGCTCGATGAACTGCTTGTACTTGGACAGTGTGTTGGAGGTCCGACAGAATCGAGCTTTGAGTGACCAGAGCAGCCATCCATGAATCAACTCGGAAACGACAAAGGCAGCGCATGGCCCACTTGGGGCGTGGCTGCCTGGACCCCGTTTATGGGCCCGCAATCCCTGGTGCGATCCGAGTTTGAGCACCTCTGATGTACAGATGCTGCGTACACCCGGTCACCCGTGACCCTCGGAGGCCGAGCCTCACGACCCATAGTCCAAGACTTCAATCTCTGAAGGGTCCGGGAGGCTGGAATGGCTGGAAATTCGATTGTACAGTTCCGAACGTCTCCGACCCCGGGGGTGTCACGAAGTGCGAGAACTTGCAGACAGCACATATGACATGTGTGAGCTTAGTTCGTGCTCCAGCAGCGCCCCTGCATTCCGCTTTTCATGGTACCCTGTTGATGATTTCGGAGGGTCGCTAACTTTCTGCGGTCCCGCCCAGAAACCTAACTGGCGAGAATTTCTATGTCGTCGCTGTCGCATTCGAAAATTATGCGTGGGGCAAGACCTTCCAAAGTCACTTGGGTCTTGGGACCCGTCGGACCAGCTTTGACATGTGCAGGTTTCTATTACGACTATCCTCCGCTTGCGGGTGCTGACCGCCTGTTGCGAGTGGCGGTGCTTACAGCTCTGGGCCTCGTTGGTGCCGTGGCTACGGCAGTTGGCAGCGAATAGTGGTCTGGCCGCTGCAAATGTAACTTAAGGACTTAAGAATGCATCTCTTTCTTGAATGGCTTTGATGACCCTAATCAGGTACTTTTATGGTGGGCGCCGCCCTCTATATCGGTGCCTACGCAGAGCACAGCCCTCACAGACTCGCAGAAGTGGCGTGCTGATTCTGGCTGGAGAGTCTGCTCGCGACCGAAGGTGTTGTCTTAGCTGGTTGACTTTTCTCACCATCATCGCGGAGGCCAGTCCGTCCTTGAGGATGTCGCAGGCGACATGCAGTAGGAGGCCTTGAAGCGCGTGAGACCAGGTGAAGGTGATCATTTCCGTAGTGAGACTTGCCCGCAATCTCTGGCATGAATGCTGTCCTGCCGGCAGAGCTGCGTCAGCTACGTTTGAAGTCTTTCTTTCCAGGAAGTACTGCCCGCAAGTGTGGATGAACTACAAGAGGAAGAGCACGGCAACTCGGCCTCATCAGCTGCGAGCCATCAGGAGAGGTTGTCCAGGTGTCGGGGTTGGCATGGCTGAGGCCGGATGGACGATTTACAACGTCCTGCTCGATTTGACCGGAGGCAGTGCGAGCTTCTCAAGCTTGAGCAAAGCTGATGTCGGCTTGAGCTTTGCCGTGTCAGGCCTGCTCAGTGTTGCTCAGTGCTGCCCTCACTACTGGTGCAAATTTGGCGATGCTCGGAACGTTTGCCTGCCCCAGGCTGCTTCTTGATGCTTCCCTCAGCAACGACTGGAGCAAGGTGTCTGGCGACCCTGCCAAGCTAATGCTCCCAGCTCGCATTGCTCACTTCATTTCACCACCTCCGAATTCACGTTGCTTGGGCTTCGGTGCGACAGTGGTGCCAAGGCTGGGCAACGTCTCGGTGCGGCACTGAGTGGATTCCATGCCCGAGAGCCTACGGACCTCTGGCAGTCGAGGTCTTCTTCGACCTCATCTTTATCGTGCAGTAGCTTGATCGGAAATGATCGGAACAGTTTCTTTGTAGCATCTCGAGAAGTGCAGAAAGTGTTGATGCCGCAGCTAGGCACTTCTGCCTTTACAGGGATGCGGCAGCCTCAGCCAGAGACAAGGATCGGCTTCTTGCGCGGCAGTCCTCTCGTACTCGCAGGCACGCGGCGCGGCCGCGTGCGATGCACAGGGATCCAGCTCCAGCTCCGAGGGGTTCTGAGAGCTTCTGGGCCGCTTCCGGGGCGCCAAAACGAGCCAAAGCAGTCGAGGAAAAGACGCTGAAAAGTGACAGTGAGTGCCGCGGGTTCTGGGATTCTGGGCATGGAACGTAAGTGCTTCGCACTTCTGTGCCTGACCAGGGAAGACATGGTGGGGACGTCGACTTGCTGGCCTTCTCAGTTGTCTGCGACCTACTCGAGTCAGAAGCGAAATAAGGTGCAGCTCAAACGAGAGCTGTCAGGTCAATGGCGGCCACATGGGACGAGGACGCGCGAGGTTTGGGGAAACTTACCAGTTCGCCCCCCGAACCCCTCATTACTGGTCTGAGGGTGGGAGTGTATGTCACCTCCATCTTGGCTTGTCAGGATGCCCTCCTGATCTTCGGTGTGGCCCTGGGCGAGTCCCTCAGCTTGCACCTGGCATTTCAGAACATAGCTGTAGCCAAAGTGAAGACGATGACCTACCTGCCCGCTCTTCTTCGGCGGGCATGATGTGACAGGCAAGGAGTTTGCTACGAAGGGCGCTTCAGCAAGCTTAGGGCCGTGAGCTCGTTGCAGCCGGCGGATACCAACTTCTTCCGGAGCTGTGAGCTCGAGGCCCGGGGTCAACGTGCACCGCGTGGCCCGAAACGGCCGGAACTTCGAGTGCAGAACTCAGACCATTCTTCTTAGCCGTGGCATCACGGGCCGGCTCTCGAAGGTACCTTTCGGGTGAAGACCCGCACCTCGGGGCCAAGCTTGGTGCTGCGCACGTTCGGAACCGAGGCTTCCCCAAAAGCTGTGAGACCGGTTTCTGGAAGTATCGAGGTTCGCGGAGTGCAGTCCCAAGGGGTCATGGCGGTTGTCAAGCACTTCGCCATGAACGAGCAGGAGCTGTTGTGTTCCATCGCGTCCAGAAGTTGCTTCTTACCATCGCCGGAGCGAGGAGACAAACAGAAACACGGAGTCGCCGGCAACTCTGTTTCAGGTCACCGTCCTCACAACCCCCTGCTTCACATGTTGAGGTCCAACGTTGACGAGAAGACGGCCTGGGAGCTTTATTTCCCACCTTTCCAGGTGGGTCCTATTGCGAGGTTTTTCTCTATGTCTGTGTCTCACGGAAGAACGCTTGTGTACCGGTGTAAGTCAGGTGGTCATGTGTGCATTGCATCTCCTGGCGTGTAAATGCGAGGCAGCCGTCGATGCAGGAGCCGTAGCATTCATGCAGGAGCCCTGGGAGCGCAAAACCTTACGGACCACATGTAGGCGTATGTGCGATGTTTGTGAATCATTGAGCCAGTAGTGTCTCGACAGCACCCGAAATCCCACAAGGCCCCAGCGGACGTCACCACACCACATGAACCGCAGTGGTGGCTTCGAGCAACAACAGTAGACTCGAAATGTTGGGCTTCGGAACCCCTCCTCTGGAAAGTAGTTTGGTTTTGGGAGCGGAGGTGCAAGTTGTGCTTGCGGCACTAGCATGCGGTTATGCTTAGAGCCGAGCACACCAGCAGTTGTTGGCTGGTGATGCCTTTACGAGTGAGGTGAGGGAAGGCTCGAGAGCAGCAGAGAGTAACAGTTTGCTTCGGCACTTCCTGGCAACTCCGAACTTGAGCGCGCACCCCACGGGAGCCCAACGTTTGATTGCAAGGACGACTAGTCTGTGGTGCTACACTCAGTCCAAGCGTCCAAGCACGTAAAACCGAGCCGGGCAGAGGTCTGAAAGCTGATGAACACCCCAAGCACTGCATATACACGGTGACAGCGGCACTCCAGTGCACACGAGAAGCAGATTCATCTACCCAGCTACCCTGTTCTTTCTACTTGCGTGTCGGCAAGGTGTTCCTACAACCTGGTCGCGGTCTTGGCTGGCTGCTGTCTTTTGGGGCACGGGAAGCTGGATGGGCCAAGGTCGATGGAGTGCATGCATGCTCCAATCGAGACCTGCTGCGAGTCGTGCTGCCGACGAGCTTTCGTTCAGTTTAGTTCAGAGAAGGACACAGAAACTATCAAGAGCAAGATCTCGACAAGGCATTGAAAGAGCGCATGGGCTTCCGAGGCACGGGTCCCTGCAGAGGGCATTGGTGCGAGGAATGACGCTGACGTGCGAGGCTTCGTCCAGTCGGATTGGTGGGCAGCCCACGATATGTCGTTGGAGCGTGGGCTCGACCAGGCATAGCCGCAGCCGTCTGCACCGTCCCTGCAAGCTTGTGCACAGCCCCCTGTGCCTGTGTCAGGAGATGCCCGGAACACAGGGTCTGTTCAGCGTTGAGGCCGGACTTGTGTGCAGAATGGCTTGAAGAGATCGTCGTTCGCCCGCTCAGTGAAGGCACTGCGACTGCAACCTCCAGAGCTTGTGGATGATGCTGTGCCCGTTTCCCAGCACTCCACAAGACTGAGAGGATATGGCGATCGCATGCAGCTCAGGCGAAGGATCCTCGCTGCCATGAACAGGTGAGCCTCCAGCATTGCGAGAGAGTGGCTCGGTGTGGGAGTGGCAGACGCAGGTTGGACCTGATGAGCACGTCCAAGTGCAGCCCGCCGAATTGTACCCAGCGGAAGCCCAAGACACATCGAAGCACAGGATCACTGGCTGACGGTACGACCTCATCAAATCAGGTATCTGCGCGCCAATGTAACGTCCCCCACGAATCGAGCGCTGTCCAGAGAGTTGGCCACGCAGTCGATTGTCCAAGACCCAGGATGGCAGCGTTTTCGTTTGAGGCTCTTCCGAGCTGGCGCAGTGAAGAATGCGAACCCTCTGCATGTAGCCGTGTGTGCACCATGAAGATGCTTCAGCCAGCACTTGAATCTCTGCCGTGCGCACTTCGCGAAGTGGCCTCTCCTTTTGGCCCGCGCCGCTGAGCAATCTCGCTTAGGTCCTGCTGCAAAATGCCCTACCCTCAGCGACAAGTCAGGCTGAGCTCGGAGCCCCGCAGGTAGTGGAAGGTATCGGCCCTTCGAGAGTGCGTGAAACGGTGTCGTGTAATGGATTCCCCGCTCAGATCTGCATTTCTGCCGCACGCCAGAGGGCTTGGGGTTTGTAGGTTTGAGGGTTTCTCTCACCCCCCCGCCCCCGGCTGTTTGCTATAACGTCACAGGGATCGAGCCCGTTCCGGCCGCGATCCTCGTTCCTCGTTTGCGGAGGATGGGATCGCCGCCGCGATGTAAAACTAAGGATGGCCGCTGGGATTTTGGTGTCACATCTCCCCTGACTCTCGCAAGTTTACGACGTGCAGGCATCTCAAACACGGCACATAGCCGTGATTTGCATGATTGGTTTCGTTTTTGCCCGGGCAGGTTGCAGACACGGTTCCAACCGGAACAGACCAACACACGGGGGGGGGGGGAGGAGACGACAGGGGTCAATGCCATGATCTGCACGTGAGCCAAAACGAATGCTAAACAACAGCGACAGGGGCACCATCGGCAACGAAGCAAAAGGAAAACTCCAAAAAAAACTCTAGTGACTCACTCTAGTGACTCTAGTGTAGCAACATGCAGTAGCAATCGCAAGCAGGGTGACAATGCTACTGACAAATAGCTGCAAGCATACTTTTGTCGTTTTGCTAGCTGCTCAGCAGCCAATCCCATGTAATCGCAGCATGCACAGCATGCGGCGAGCCAGCCAAGATTACAGCTTCTGCTTTGTGGAATGCTGGAGAAAGCACAACACTTTGACTTAAGCTTGGAGAGAGGCCTGGTGTTGCTGGCCGCCCTAACCAACCGCGAACACCACAGGCACCACCCCACAGGGGAGGGAGAAAAAGAAGCCGCGAGACCGGGAACCCAAGACCAAAGGTTCCACGCCACCGCGAGGAGCGGAAGGGGATACAGTGAATTGGGCGGGGACGGAGGGGAGGAGGGGGCGCAGGCCCTGCATCATGTACGGGGTCTCTGCGTTACAAACGATCCGATGAAACCCTCGGAAGCAAAGCGGCCGCAAGCCTTGTTTCGGCGATTTCTGCTTCCACATGGGCGCAAGGCGGCACACTGAAGGGATTGCCTCAAGCTGACTGCCTTTGGACGCATTCAGTTCCCCTGCATTTACTTCTCCTCGCCAGCACTCCTTCCTGCCACTAAGCACCTCAACGTTCTGCCGCTCTCCAATCCCGGCACCTTGGGCGATGCGAGGGGCACTGCAGCTTCAGCAGAGTTTAGGACTGAGATTACGCTAGTCACAGTCCTTGTGGCGATAGCGGCAATCTTGCCTCTGGGTCCTGGTGCTAAGGTCAAGACCATCGCAGTGGTGGGTCCGGCCCTCAGCGGAGAGGAACGCTCATCGGAGTTTAGGCTGACCGGACAGTTCTGGTTCTGCATGACAAGACGTGAATGAGGCCTTTCTGAGGCTTTATTAAGGGCTTCATATGACATTAATAAGGGTTTAATAAAGGCTTCCTATGGTCGAGAAAAGGCTTTAATACGGGTTAATTATCTCAATAAAGCTTTGATAAGGACTTCATATGGCTTTAATACGGCTTATGGCTTTAATAAGGCCTTAAACAGGCTTAAATTAAGGGCTTGATGGGCTTGATAAGGAGTTAAATTTGGCTTTTCATCATGCCTTCATAAGGCCTTCATAAGGGCTTAATATGACTTTAATAAAGTTAGAAAAAAAGGCTTCATATGGTCGGGAGAAGGCCTTTATAAGAGTTAAATACGGCCTTGATACGGCTTTAACATCCCTAGAAGTCAGTGTTTGTTTCCTGGAACAAATCGAGCATCCTGGCAAGGACTAGCTCTAGGGTGAGAAGAAGTCATGGCCGCGATGCGAGAGTCAAAGCAGTTCTGCTGGTTTGAGGTGCTGCCGCTGTGGCACGGTCCGAGCCTCAGATGCACTTGTGTGTTTCAGGGTGCGCTGCGTTGCTGCGTTGCATTGCTGCGGTTTGGGCCCAAGGCCCTACGATCCGAGCGGGAAAGACCAAGGTGCGAATGCCTGGGCCGGGCATCTCAGTACAGCTGGACCGGAGAAGGGTAGGATGTGTTCTTGTCTGAGAGCAACAGCAACGGATGCATGTTGTGCAGCTGTGCGATGAGGCCGTCGGCGACTACTATTCCGGGGGTGGAAGCCATGAGCTCATGTCACCTGCAACAGCCGAATCGCACCCGGCATCTTTGAAGCGTCGATAGGTGGCCACACGGTTGCCAGCAATGTCCAGCTCTGAGGTTGCTGTCGCGCATGGACAATCAGTGTCATACATATATTATTCTATATCTTCATACATTCAAAGTATGTCCAACCCCAGCACGGATCCATTCCGGTCGTTCTCTTCTGGGACGAGGTGGTGACTCCCTTGGAGGGCATACAGAGGCAGGATTATTGCTTGGATTTTCGCAGGACTCGCAAGCTTGCCACCCCAGCATGGGCTAGCTACTGTAGTGGTGATTAGTCGATGATATAGATCGAGTAGGTGTAGATTCTAGGGTAAAGACTGTCTGATGGATCTCGTCGGTCTGTGAGAAAGTGCATGCGTCTTTTTGGGTTGGGGTCCGGCAGTCCACCCCGCAATTCTTGGCTTGAAGCTGGGAAGCACGGGCTGCAATCTCACATCCCTCTTCCTGTACATACTTCCGCGGTCTTTCACCTGAAGGCTCGACCAACATCCGCTTGCCTCGAGTGGAGCATACATGCTTTGCCTGAAACTTGCCACAGCATGGCGATCCGCCTCTTCCTGGCCTCGTGCCTCATCCGTTTCGCCGCTTGCTTCGAGGCGACAGCTGGGATTGGGGCGTGGGGGGCTAGGGCTAGGGGTTGAGGGGTGTTTCCAGGATGAGGACCTCTTTGCAGAGAGCATCAATACCGAGTTGCTGCAGGCCACCGTTCGACCTTCCAGGATTCCATGTGCCTTGATGTCTGATGTGCGCTCTGAGAATTCAAGGTGAAGATAGAGCTCTCGAAGAATGTGTCTCCTGGCTCGAGTTGCCCTGTCCGTTTCCAGCTGCGTGGAACAGCCCGAATTTCGCGAGGCTTGACACTGGTCGGTCCACGACGGAGGGGTCAACTGGAGCCTCGCCTGATGCATCAGCTGACCGGCTGCTGAATCTTGAATTCAACATGAGAATCTTCTGGAGCCTGTGCCGAGGAAAGTCTGATGACGCAGCTTGTCCGAAATAAGCATACTCGTAGCTGAAGTTGTCGTGTCGGTCTAAGTCGCACCAGGTGGAAGCTGACAGCACCTGCGCAGACCACTGCAAGTATGTTGGATCCACGCTGTGGCAGTACGACCCCGATTGCCAGGGCTGCAAAGCATCTCTATTGCAGGTGAAGGATTGCATGGACTACTGCAAGCACGAGCCCTCGACGGTGTGGCAATATGATGCCAACTGTGCCTCCTGCACAGTGTTGGCTCAGAGCAGCCCAAGCAACAGCCAGAGCAGCGACAAAGAGCGGGTCGGGTGTGCAGACTACTGCAAGTACGTTGGCACGTCAGTGCGGCAGAACGTACCGGACTGCAAAGATTGCTCCGCGGCTCTGGTGGAGGAGCACGCTTCGCAGTATCCGTGTGCAAGCTGGTGCCAGTATGAGGGCCCGGCCGTCTGGCAGTATGATCCAAACTGCGGGGGGTGTTACGAGCAGCCGATACCACTGTTGAACAGGTCAGTGAGCTGCTTCAACTACTGCCAGTACGTTGGATCTGCAGTTTGGCAGTACAACCCAGACTGCCGAGGCTGTGCAGCACCATACCTCTTACAGGAAAACCAGGGTAGCAGGTGTCAGTCCTACTGTCAGCACGAGCCGTCGATAGCCTGGCAGTATGATGCCAACTGCCAGGACTGCAAGCCAACCTCCTTTACTCAGGAATTGGCCACTGCTGCAGCACAAACAAGTGGCGCTTGCGCCGACTACTGCAAGCACGTTGGATCCGCGCTGTGGCAGTACGACCCCGATTGCCAGGGCTGCAAAGCATCTCTATTGCAGGTGAAGGATTGCATGGACTACTGCAAGCATGAGCCCTCGACGGTGTGGCAATATGATGCCAACTGTGCCTCCTGCACAGTGTTGGCTCAGAGCAGCCCAAGCAACAGCCAGAGCAGCGACAAAGAGCGGGTCGGGTGTGCCGACTACTGCAAGTACGTTGGCACGTCAGTGCGGCAGAACGTACCGGACTGCAAAGATTGCTCCGCGGCTCTGGTGGAGGAGCATGCTTCGCAGTATCCGTGTGCAAGCTGNNGACTACTGCAAGTACGTTGGGGCTGCCGTGCAGCAGTTCAATCCAGAGTGCAAGGATTGCACGGCATCCTTCGCACAGAAATCCAACTCCTCCATACCCTCCTGCAGCGACTACTGCCAAAAAGAACCGTCAGGATTATGGCCGTACGATGCCAAGTGCCAGGATTGCGCGGTGGTGTCGACGGCAGAGGCTGGCACCAAGGAATCCGACCAGTGCGAGGCAAGCGGGCTGCACGATGCAAACTAAACTTGCAGCAACTACTCCGACTAGTCGGGCTCTCCTACAGGGCGACTCCAACTCTGCACTCCTGCTTCTCCCGCTACTTCCACTACTACTACTGCTGCT